TTGTGCATGTTAGCGTATATACGCAATGCCGGTCCTAAATCAGAGCTATCAAAGGGTTAAAGTTAGGCTCTGATCATCAAGGCCTAATGACCTCAAAGAAAGCCCTGACAGAGAGTGCGTAAGTCCGTAAGCAAGTATAATTCAGATAATAAGATATAAGCTTGTAAGCATGTAAGTTAAGTTACGAAACCACTTGTCCTAACCTCTCGGTCTATGGTCATTAACGTTCAACTCTCTAAATAAAGAGATGACTAGGACTACGTACTTTGGCACGTCTGGTTTCGTTGATGAGCTTAATCTAACACGTTGGACGAATGGGAGTGAAGTTAGAATCATCACAGAGCAAACAAATTGAGTCGCCTTCTTTTTGAAGGTGGCTCAACACCCTCACTCGCTTTAAATCTATCAATCAAGCATAAGTAATTCCTACTCAACTTTCTACCACCGTTCCTCACATTCAACGTATTTCAAAGCTATTAATTTCAATAGCCTCTCTTATTTTTCTTTTAAGCACAGACGTACCGTAATTAGCAAACCTTCTAGTTTGAGACCATTTTACTTCATGTCCAGTTTCTGCCATGCGTTCGGCCAGTTCTGACCGTTGGATCCAGATACCTTTGCGAGGATTTTTGCGTTCTAACATTATTTGTCGAATAGGACGGCATGTATCACCAACATAACACCGACCACATGAGCAAACAATCCTGTAGCAGCCGGATCTAGATAATGGGTCATATTTCTCTCTAAATAATTGCATAACAGAAGAAAGTGTGAGGGTTTCTTTGAGTACTGTTTTTATGCCCCACTTCTTCACCAATTCGCCTATCTTTTTTGAGAGAAAGCATGACGGTAAAATAAGGACATAAGAAAATGTTTCAGTCTGTCTCTCTTTGATTTAATGGTTTCCGCCTGAAAATTTATTCCTTAGTAAAGAGATATTATTCTCAATAAGGCCTAAAGGATAATTATTTTCCAGGATTATATTTGCCGGCCGTTCCAAATCTTTAGTCAAATGTTTGCTATCAGCTAGTTTCATACTTCTAAGAATCACTGATTTCAAAATCCCAACTTTAGTCTTGTAATTATGGTTGGAAAGAAAATTAATCAAAGAGCCAACATATGTTGGCTTCCTATAAACATCTCTTCTTAACCTACTCTCTCATCTAATGATGAGAACGTCTATAAAAGGTATAGACTTATTCTCTTCCATTTCCATCGTGAACCTAATGTTTCTTTCACGCTGGTTGAGTGAAAATAAGAAACTATCTAAATTGTTCTTAACATGAGGCCAAATGACAAAATAGTCATCCATGTATCTAACCAACAATTTGGGTGTTAGTACACTTCTTGCAAGAAGGGTTCCTCCAATTTTGCCATATAATTGTTCGCTTAGATGGGAGACAGGCAAGATCCCATCGCTAATCCTTGCGTTTGTTCATATAACTTACCATCAAAGGTAAAATGTGGTATCCATGCACAGATTAATAAGTCTAATAATTGAAGCTACACTTAACCTTATTCCTTGTGTTATCTCTGGATGTTCCTCCAAAGTTTGTATTAGAGCTTGAATAGCTCCTTGCACAGTAATGTTTGTGTACATAGACACAACATAAAAGTTATTTAGCCTATCCTCTTCTGAAATTGTCTACTGATCTAGCGATTTAACAAAATCATACGAATTTTTACTTTATTAATCTATGCATAAGTATCACATATTTTACCTTTGATGCTAAGTTATATAAACAAACGCAAGGATTAGCGATGGGATTTTGCCTATCTTGCATCTTAGCAAACAATTATATGGCAAAATTGGAGGAACACTTCTTGCAAGTAGTGTACTAACACCCAAATTTTTGGTTAGATACATGGATGACTATTTTTTCATTTAGCTTCATGGTAAGGACAATATAGATAGGTTATTATTTTCACTCAATTAGCGTAAAAGGAACATTAGGTTCACGATGGAAATGGAAGAGAATAAGTTCTTACCTTTTATGGATGTTCTCGTCATTATAGAAAATGGTAAGTCAAAAAGAGATGTTTATAAGAAGCCAAGATATGTTTGCTCTTTGCTTGATTTTCTTTGCAACCATAGTTACAAGACTAAGGTTGGAATTTCGAAGTCAATTACTCTTAGAAGTATGAGGCTAGCGGATAGCAAACATTTGGCTAAAGCGTTGAAAGGGCTGGAAAATAATTATCGTTTGGGCCTAATTGAGAATAATATCTCTCTACTGAGGAATACATTGTCAGACAGAGACCAGTTAGTCATGTTTTCTCTTAAAAAAAGATAGGGGAATTAGTGAAGAAGTGGGACATAAAAACAGTGTTCAAAAAAACCCTCACACTTTTTTCTATTATGCCATATTTTAGAGAGAAATATGATCCATTATCTAGCTCCGGCTGTTACAAGATAGTTTGCTTATGTGGTCGGTGCTATGCTGGTGAGACATGCCGACCTATTCGACAACGATTGGTAGAACGAAAAAATGCTTGCAAAGGTATCTGGGATC